CAATACATTTTTTAAAAATTGGGTAAAGACTGCTGGTATTACTTTATCTTCAGTTATAACTGCTGAATCCCACAATTCAGGTAGCTACCCTTTTAAAAATTGGCCACTTATTCTATTTTCAGTATTTTGTCAATGTGTGTTGAATAACTACTATTCCTTTATTTGAGAATACAATATTCTTTCAGCCTGTTAGGAAAGGAAAAATAAAACCAGATTCATCAGAGTTGGATTATAATATGCTCCTTTAATTAATTTCTCAATATTCTGGTAGCATTTTCTGGAATATATTGGAAAAATGATTTGTTCTATGGATGCCAGACCAATACTGAGGAATTTTAAATGCAAGAATCATGTCCCTGTCCTTTTTCAAGTTAGATTTACCATAATGGATTGCTACTTGTTGAACATAGCTAAGCTAAGCTTAGCTTTTGCTAAGAATATGACATATAACACAAAAACATCTAAACAGTTATTATAAATGTATAACCAAATGACCAACACAGAATATATCTCAACTTTTGTGACAATCTCTCAGTTTCGAGCGTGATACAAAGGTTGCCTCTAAAGCATCTGGTAGGTTGATGCCATACTGAGAAACCAAAATAAAATTCATTTCACTTTCTAAAAGAAGCCTCTTCCATATAATTCTTTTTGTGCATTGATGTAATTGCTGAAAAACAGGCACATCTTTATTTTTCAACCAAAAGTGATTAGGAAGATGGATTCAGCTGTTAGATTGGTTTTGCAAATTGGATTATTTTGGGCAGTCCATGACATCAGAGATTGGGCAAAACAAGAGTAAGTATTCCCTCAAAGTCTGCTTTCGCTTATCCTCTGCATTCTATAAAACTGAGAACAGTGCTTAGGAAAGGAAAAGAAAGGAAAAAAGTTAAGATATGCATAACCATATCCTAAGCAGAAACCCAGATGATTCTCTCCAATGAATTCTGAAAACATGATGAAATTTGAGATCTTGTGCAAGCTGGTAGCAAACAGCTAATTAACTTAGAGTGAATTTTTATCTGAAATTCTGTGTAATTATTGTCTTCACTTGTTCTTGCTATATACTGTAAATCCCTTTCTATATTGACTTATTTGGTTTAAGATGGATTAAAGTTCTATATTTCTGGACTTTGAGCAGGAAGAACCAAAGCACCCTTTTCTTTTCAATTTTTCTAAGAGCTGGTAAAGAGAGAAGGAATGGAAATTTCAGAGATTTCTCAAAAGATAGAAAAAGAAAAGTAGCTTAGGATAACCAAACAGCTGCAGCAATAATGCTTGTCTTATTTAAAGCAAAGTATGGATCACTGTAGCAAGAGGTTTAATTCTGCTCCTTGGGCAATAGATCACCTATTATTGGGTCTGCCTATATTTTTAGTAATATTTAATAGTACCAATAATTAAGTGATATTCTTGACCACTTGAATTTGGCATTTCAAATTTTTTGTTAATTCTCATTGTTTCTTTCCCTTTCTAGTCCAACTCAACATCGTTGGCCTCTCTGAAGATCTGCTTACTATAGCTCTGGTTTTCATACATCTCTTGTGAACAGGAAATATTCTGGAGCTAATAAGAATATTAGCTACAAAAGTTTTGTAGCTCTCTACAAAAGAGAGCTATAAAAGTTCTTAAACATTTGCTCTAAAACTGTAATATTTAAAACTGAGGAAAGTTTAGAAACATTATACAATTTTATTATTTAATGAATAACAAGTTTGAAAATGTTTAGGGTTTGGTTGTTGTTAGGAAATTTACTTTAAATTGGGTCAACTGGTGCATAACAAATACAAAGTAATGTAGCAAAGATACATTATAAATACATTAGATATTTGTAAAAAGTAGTTCTTAAAGTTGGGATGAGGAAAAATTTGAAGGCAGCTATAGAACAGAAATAACACTGAAAAGCAGATCCAAGAGTGGCTCAGTGAATCCATACTGAAACTGAAAGCTTTAAGTAGGAAGTTTACTGAAGACTGTGCTACCTCAAGTAACTCTAGGACCTGTTTTTAAGTTCTGGTCTGAAATGTATTATTGTTAAAATTTGATTTAATACTTTGCAATTATTTCAATCTGTTACCAAAATCATCTGAATTAACAGCATGCAAACTTTGACTTCTATCATATTCGATACTCAGCTCAATATTCTCCTACCCCACCTGTTCTGCCCCCCACAATTTTAGTCAATGGAGGGTCTTGCATGAGCAAGAGAATTCTGTACTATCATTTTGGAAATCAGTTACTGATTCATTCCTATAATAGTTACCAAACATTATCACTCAGAATGCATTCTAGAAGAATAGAGACTTCTTCTTTTGAATGCACTCCAACCCGTGTCTGCAGTCAAGAAAGGGAATTACCCTGAAGTTGATTAATGCTGTATTAGCTACATTGGGATACTATTTTATAATTAAAAAACACCTCTGCCACACCTCCAAAATCAGCCACATTCTATGGATTTTTGCACCCAATATCTCTCCTTAAAACTCTAGGTGTCTCAGTAAAGTTCATCCCATTCTGCTGAAAAACAAGCAAAAGATATAACTGTGTTCCCCATGCCAGCCTAAAGGACAGGCTGGTTTTTCAAATCTTGTTCCAGATCAAACTATCTTAATAGTACTTATATCAGACTAAACTGTTTCCAAAGTCCCAGATCAGTTTCTCAAATCTGAGCAATTAAGCATTTCCATATCTCCATTAGGATTCTTAGTCAGAATGTAATGAAATAGTGAAACTATGTCTGCCAAGGCAGATAAAACAGGAAAATACTTATACCTCACAAGAATTTATGTATTTATAGTACTGTATTTAAATATGATTTTGACTTATCCAGGACCTGTTCTGCAGAATACTATAAAAACATATTTTTTCTTAAATTTTATAATACAGAAAAACTGCAGTCTTTGAAAAATCAAACCACATAAGGGTGATTAACATTTTATTAACATAAACAGTTTATATTAAAAAAACTAATAAAAAGTAGGAAAAGAAAAACAATAAACATTTCAGCTGACATTCCACTGAGCAATTGAATGCAACATTCAAGATCCAACACTAGAATCTCTGTACAGATGTTATCTCTTCCCTTCTCCTACCTATGGATAGCCACTGCACAACCTCCAGAACAAGCTATAGCATGTGTGGAATGCAGTGCCAGCCAATCCCAGCAATAAATTGTATTTAAGGCTTAACACCTCTCAAATGTAGGATTCTGAAACTCAGTTAAAACAAAGGCAGTTAACATGAGACATTCTGACAACTTTCACGCCATATTCCTGGAAATACGACCTCCTACATTTCAAGAGAAACTCACATAAAAGACATCCATGGGATGAGTTTTTAGAAAACATGGTTTTATTTTAATTCTGGGTAAATTTTTAAACACTTTTACTACAAAACATCAGAACAGACTGAAATGTAAACTATCAGAATGCACAACACAGCCATGAAAAACATTTATTTTGTAACTGTAAACAGCAGAACTAGAGAGAACCTGAGGAAAAAAGGGATTCCAAGAATTCTTCAGTTTTTAAGCAGGTGATGATCTTCAAGTTGATCCAAGATATATGGATACAAGCTTACATTAGAGATTACTTTTCTGGCCTGAAATAAGATATGTGGTTGTTTATATTAAAATGCAAATCTCTCACAACGTTTTCTAATTACGCTAGTTCTCCCACATAATCATTAGGCAGTAAAAACAGAATTTATAGCTGTTGCTCTAATGTTAATTTATATCAAATTATCTGTAACAATTAAAAGTAAACATGCACTCAAAATGCTATCATCTGAGTATACATCAGTCTCATCTAAAATGTTTCTAATTTGAATGCAAATATTTTATGGATATGCACTAAACAGCAAGACATTTTCTCACTCATCAATTAATTTAAATCAGAGGAAGGGCTCCTTCAAGTAATATATTGCCTTTTCACTATCCTGAATTTTTTTAAAATCTGTTTTTTAATCCTGTATGTTCTAATTACAATTTATAAGCCATTTTTCAGCAAGGTTTTACTAGGCAAATTATATATTTCAAGCAAAAGAAAATAGAATGATGACAAAAATCTTCAATAGGCTCTTCCCTTGCTTGTTTTCTCTTATGCAAACCATGCCCATATATTCCAAGTAAAGGCGCAGTGAAACTGCTAGTAGGAAAAGTTAAGATCATCTCTCAAATTAATTTGGAATTCCAGGGATGTCCACATTTATGGAATTTCCCTTCTGATTAACATTTGGCAGATTCTTGAGATTTTCAGATGTGCAAAAGAGAAAAATCTTTTATATTTATCCAAGCATTTAATCTTTTCCCTAGTTTGCATGAAGCTGACTGCAAAGCTCATTTATACTGTAGAGCTATTCTCCTCCCATGCAGGAAGCTTACATAGATCAAAAGGTGATTAAAACCGTGCTTCTTTTCTAAATTTGTCACTTCTGTTAGTTGTTCTCTCCACTTTTTTTGCATTTACAATACAGAGAGATAAATCTTTAAATAAATCTTAGTGGTTTCTAAGCTATCCAAGATATAGTGACAAACAGTCTTTGGAAGCTCAAAAAGTCACAAGGATTTCTTACTGGATAATTAATTGCTCCATAAACATACTTCCTAGTTGTGGAAGTCCTGGAAAGGCACAGAAGTATATGTGAAGGAGTTTGATAACTCAGGATTATCACCCAATAATCTCTGTCATACATTAACTTACCATCATGCATCACAGCAGGTAGCAGCACCTAGCTGATCTTCAAAAAAGCTAAGCTTGGCCTGACCTCATTAGTTCCTGGATAGGAGAACAGTAGGAAATCCCAGGACTGTAGACTAGCCTGAGAAGTCCAACCAAACACACCCAGACCCGCCCCAAAGATGGTAATGGCAAATCACTTCCATACTGTTGCCAAAAAACCCACATGGAGGCAAACTTGACTTGAGGGAGACTTAAACTTTTATCCCCATCCAGCTATTCTACCTTTATGCCTGCACTAAAAAAATACTTTCTTTCAAGATCTGTGCAAACAAGATGAGCTTTATAGATTGTATTAACATACATATAAGAGCTTTTGTTTTGTTATATTAATCTTGTCATTAAAGTAGTTTTGAGTTATTTGGCTTGTGGCTCCATCTTATGGTGAATCTTTGAAATATTTCTAGCAATATACAAACAATAATAGGCTAAATTTACTACAAAGCTGCTGATTCACCTTTACTCTCCTTTTTTACTGTAATTTTCACAACATTTTGCACAATAAATATTTCTCCCCAATATTCTGAAGGCATTTTTTTTCATTTCTCATTGAATTAAAACAGAACAATTAGATTGCTCATGGGCTATGAAAGCCTGCTGCCCAAAGACAAAACTGTAGGGGGGATGAAGCAAACATGGTAGTCTATTTTATAAATATATTAGAAAATGTGATTTAAAAGGATACAAATCCAATAAATAAAATGAAACAAAATCAAGAATTTGTGGACTACTTTGTACTGTAATCTTATTAAATCTTGTGTCTTAGAAATAGGTCCACAGATTAATGTTCTTTTTCAGAACATTAATCAAAAAGTGTTTGGAGGAACAAAAGAAAAATACTGAGAATCCATTTTCTGTGCTAGAAATTTAAACTGCATAAATTGGGGGTTTGAGGAATTGGAAGATTTTCTCAATTACTTGAGGGGAAACTACTAACACAAGAGGAGAAGGATAGGATGGAGATAATTAAGATTAGTAACAAGCCCCACATTGCAAGTTAGGATTAAAAAGAAGTTGTGGGTCTGAAAAGATAGCAGAATACTCATAAGCAGAGTATCCAGACATAGTCATGAAGAAATCAATGGGACTCAAGCTAGTCATGAATTTACATCCTTTGATTCAGTGAGTCTACTTCAACTAAAACCAGATCTAACAAAATATTTTTCCTACCTTTTCCTTTTAGCTGTGTGAAGAGGATGACACATTCTTTATTCCAGAGATTACGTATATTGTATATATTCCCTACAATTAAATAGTTTCCATTATAGAACAAACAATCCATGTTTCGTAAATTCAGAAATAAACTGTACCATTATTTATTCAGATCACAATTGGACATTCCTCCTAAGTCTTTCACTACTAAATGACAAAACCCTTCTAAACTCAATTTAATTTACTACCCAGAAATAATCCTTTTTTTTTTTAATGAACTAGCTATCATCAAGTATTCACACTTATACCTCCTGGTGTCCTTGCTGTTTGATACGCAAATTACTGAATGGAATAAAGAATTAGAGATTCCTATTTTGCTTAGATTATGGAGAAGGGGGGTTAACGTCAATACCAAAATCTTCAATAGACCTTGGATTACATCTTCTCTGGCCTCACTGGATTCTACATTGTTTTTACAGAAAAGGCTTCAGTAAGAATTAATGTTAATATTCTCAGCTATTCATATTATTTTGAACTATATTCCTCTTCCTATTTTGTGGAGCCTTTCTTGACTAGGCTGCAAAAAAGAAAGTTTGGAAGGAAAGCTGAAACTTCCAGCTGAACCTACACGGTAAGAGTGGGGGTGGACCCCTTCCAGGTGGCTGAAAGGCTTAAGTAAAAGGCTTAAAATACAGAAGAGAAGTTTAAAACATTTTTGAAAGAAACACCATTCGTGTCAGTGAACTGAGAAGAATTCATCTTTTGTCTGGCTGTAAAACTTTCAAGCAGCAGGAATGTGGTAGACTAGCATTCCTTTAAAAAGGACATTCATCCTAATCTCTTCTTATATTCCTTTCAATTATGTGTCCCCAGAGCAAAGGAGAAAACAGTGACTTTCATACTTTTATAATGGATGTTTTTAAAAGATTTTCGAAGTTAATAGGGTTGTGCAATGGTTTGGATTTGGTTCCAAAAAGATGCTTCCAAAGAAAGTTTCGAGTGTACACATAGCACCTCTCTGCAACTCTTTTAAACAGCTGTGCCTTTTCCCAGCTATAAGCTATACACAAAAACCCTGCTCCAAGTCCTGGTCTTGAAGTACAATAAGATTAGAAGTTTATACAAGATAGAAAACATTTTCTGTTTCAAGTTTGGAACAATTTAATCTCACTTGCAATGTTCTGAGTTGGTTGTGTTCTAAAAGAACAATACTCTAAACAATTTAGATGTTCTGTTAGATGGAAACTCAGAAAGTTTTGAATATTCTGGCCTTAAGAGGTTGCTATAAGAAACAACTGATACATGATCCCACAAAAGATGCACTGATTTAAAGAGCTCCAGACAGGAGTTACGTTCACATTCCATGTGAATCCAAAGCACTGCATAGTCCTAAAAATATTCTTTGGCAGATTTTCTTGTAAGCAAATTGACTTACAGCAGATATAATGGACTGCCTCAGTATCTCCTCTTATGGCCTAGGAGCCAAAGTAAGGAAACAAGCAGCCTAGTTCTTCATTCCCATTGCTTCCTGTGACTAGAACACTCAAATCTTTCCTCAGAACATCTAAACCAGTGTTGTCCAAACTTGGCCACTTTAAGATGAGTGGATGCTGGCTGGGGAATTCTGGGAG